ATGCTCAAAGAAGAAAAGAAAATCATGTTTAAAAAACTAAAAGAAGGTAATTGCAATGTCTCATCAAATAAAAGTAAGGTTATAGAACTTATAAATGAACCAAATGGAAGTTCTGGGGCTGAAAAGTACAATTGAAATGAAAAATTTCCTAGAGGCTCAACAGTAAACAGGGACAGACAGAAGAATCAGTGAACATGATGATAAGAGACTATACAAGATGAAGGTTAGCCCCCCAAAAAGAATAAATGAACATGAACAAAGGCTCAAAGAGCTATTAAACAAGACTAAGTACACTGACACATGTATGAGGGATTATCTGAGGCAGAAAAGAGCAGAAAAAGACTCAAAGGAAATAATGTTTGAAAACTTCCCAAATTTGATGAAAAACATCCTCTGTATTTGACAATCCAAGTGAACTCAATGTAAGATAAACAGACACATCATAATCAAAATGTTGAAAGACAAACAGGATATTCTGAAAACAGTAAGAAAAACCAAGTCACATACAATGGAACATTAATAAGAGTAACAGCTGATTTCTCATCAGAAACAATAAATAAAGGAAGAATACAGTGGAAAGACATATTTAAAGTGCTGAAAGAACTAAGAATTCAAAACCCAGCAAAACTCCTCTAAAAATATAAACATATTTCCAGATATATAAAAACTGAGAGAAATTGTTGGTAGCAGGCCCATCTTACAAGAAATACAAAAAGAAGTTCTTTAGGTTGAAAGCAAGTGACACCAAACAGTAATATGAACATACATAACAAAACAAATAGCGCTAGTAAAGATAATTATATTATGTAATTACAAAAAAACAGGATACTTGCATATTCTCCTTTCTTCCAACAAATTTTAAAAGAAAGTTTACATAAAGCAACATATCTAATTGTATTATTGGAGCTATAACACACAGAAACGTGACATATTTGACAATAACAAAAGGAGGTAAATGAGAACAAAGTTAGAGTACACTAAGGAAATGACGCTGGATGATAAGTCCACGGGAACAAACAGAATAAAACATGGTAAATTCAAATACAAATGCAATAAGCCCTAATAAATGTTTGCTCTACTTCTCTAGTTTCTTTAAAAGCCATAAAATTGTATAAATAATTATGACAATGTAATAATGTACTCCTTGGTTTGTAACATATAGGTCTACTATATATCAAAATAGCAGCAAATACAGAGTGAACACATCTACATAGCAGAAACACCTCTTTATCACACTAGAATGCAAGTTAGTATAAATTTGGGGCATAGTCTGGTAAGTTAAAATAAATTTTGTTAAGTCCTAGAACAACCACTAATAATATAACTTTAACAATTAGCTAGAAAACTATTGAAGAAATTAAAATACTAGAAAATATTCACAATGCAATGAAAGCCAGTAAGAGAAAAAAGAAAAAAAAAGACATAAGACAGATGGAAAACAAAAAGGAAATCAGCAAATATAAACCCAACCTTATCAATAATTACATTAAATGTGAAGGGATTAAACAATCACATTAAAAGGCAAAGACTATCATTCTGGAATTAAGAAATAAAGATAGAGATTTAAGTTACTTATAAGATATAAACCTGAGCTTCAAAAATATAACTAGGCTAAAAGGGATGAGTAAAGATATGACATTCAAGCAGCAACCATAAGAAGTGGGATGTCAACATTGATATAAGACAAAATAGACTTTAAAACAAAACAAAATGTTTCTAGAATTAAAGAGGGACAACATACAACAAAAAGCCCAATTCATCAGGACTATATAACAATTAGAAACATAAATTCACTAAATATCAAAATATAATATCAAAATATATGAAGCAGTTCTGACAGAAAATGGAGAAATAAATAATAATAGTTGGAGATTTCAATACCCTACTTTCAAAAATGGAGAAAATTAGCAGAAGATCAACAAGATGCAGACTTGAACACTATCAACCCACTGGAACTAAGACACATGCATAGAACACACCACCTAACAACAACAGAATGCACATTCTTCTCAAGTGCAAACCATACATTCTACAGGATAAACCATATGGTAGGACGTAAAACATGCCTCAATAAAGTTTAAAAGAACTCCTACAATTATATTAGGAAACAGTTTAGATCAATTAAAACAAAAACACAACAAACCAAAAGTTAAGGCATGCAGTTAGTCTTTAGAAATCTATCACCATAAATACCTATATTAAAACAAAAAATCTCAAATCAATAACCTAACTTTTCATCATAAGAAACAATAAAAAGCACAAACTAAAACTGAAGCAAATTAAAGAAAGGAAACAAAAGGAAACTAAAATGCAAGTAGAGATTTAAGAAGTAGAAAAAATAGAGATTAGAAAAAGAGGAGAAATAAAAATTTCTTTGAAAAGATCAACAATAGGGACAAAATTTAGCTAGACTCACAAAAAGAGAAAGAGAAAGAAAACTCAAATTATTTCTAACTCAACTTATGACACTAGTGTTACTTTTGTACCAAAACCTAACCCAAAAAAAGGGCAAGAAATTGCACATCAGTATCTATTATGAATCACAAAATTCCCCCCCAAAAATCACTGGTAAAATCAGTCCAACAGCACACACAAGGATACACCATAACCGAGTAGCATTTATAACAAAGAAAGCAAGGTTGACTCAACATCTGAAAATTAATTAATAATATGTCATAATATTAGAATAAAGAACAAAAATCATACAACCATCATTTAAAAAATACAGAAAAAGCATCTGACAAAATCTAACATCCTTTACGTGATAAATGTACTCTAGAAACTACAAATAAAAAAGAATTTCCTCAACCTGATAAAGGGCATCTACAAAAACCCCTCAGCTAACATGATAAAAGACGTTCCCACAAAGACCTGCACAGACAAGGAAGACTGCTCTTGCCACTTATAGGCCACTTATAGGCAACATTGTACTCAAGGTTCTTGTCAAGGAAACTGGGGAAATATACAAAAAAGAATACATTCTAGAAAGGAAGAAGACATCTCTATTTGCAGATGACATTAGCTTGTATACAAAAATAAGAAAACCACACAAAAAATTATTAGGAATAACAAAGAGGTAGGTCAGTAAGGTTGCCAGCTACAAGATGAACATAAAAAATTGAACTTTATTTCTATACACTAGCAGTGACTATTCCAAAAATTAAATTAAGAAAACATTTCCATGTATAGTAACATCAAAAAATTTCAATACTTGAATTAATTTAACAAGCACATACAAGAGTTGTATGTGAAAACTACAAAATACTGTTGAAAGAAATGAAGACCTAAATAAACAAAAAGAAATTCCATGTTCACAGATCAAAATATGCACTATTATTAATATGGCAATATTCTCAAAAAAATCTACAAATTCAAAGAAATCTGACACCTGCTACACCATGAATAAAACTTAAAAAACATTATTCTAAGTGAAATGAATCAGTCACAGAAAGACAAACACTTATATGAGGTACCTAGAGTAGTCAAATTCACAGCAGAGGTGAAAAGTAGAACCATGGTTGATGCGGAAGTAGGAGGGAATGGGGAGTTACCATTTAGTATTTAGATACAGAGTTCCAGTTTTATAAGATGAAAGAGCTTTGTGAATGCATGACATTGTTTACATGACAATGTCAATGTACTTAATTAACGCCAATGAACTATATATGTAAAAATAGCTAAGATGAAACATTATCCGTATTTTACCACTATTTAAAACTAACTTTAAAAAAGAAGAAAAACAGATAAAATAAGACTTTATCAAAATTAAAAATTTTGTGAAGTCAATACCATCAAGTAAGTGAACAGATAGCCCAACAAGAGTGGGAGAATTTTTACAAATAACATATCTAATAAGGGGCCTGTATCTACAAGATATAAAGAACTCTTAAAATGCAGTAACAAAAGTTAATAACCCAATTAAAATGTGAGTGAGGATTTTAACAGACATTTCTCCAAAGAAGATATATAATTGTCCAATGAACACAACAAAAGATGCTCAATACCATTAGCCATTAGGGAAACATAAACCAAAACCACAGATACTACTTCACACCTACCAGGAGGGCTATAACAAAAAAGGCAGAAATGCAAGTGTCGCTGAGGATGTAAAGAAGTCACAACCCTCATAATGCTGTTGGGAAGGTGATATGGTGCTCGTTCTCTGGAAAACTGTTTAGCAGATATTCAAAATTTTAAACATGGTTACCATGAACCAGAAATTCCCACTCATAGATACACACCAAACAGAAATAAAAATAAATACACAAAGCCCTGTAGGTCAATGTTCATATAGCATCAGCATTATTCTTAACGATCATAAAGTGGAAACAACCCAAATGTCCATCAACTGATGAACAGGCAAACAAAATGTGATATATCTACACTATGAACTATTATTTGGCAATAAAAATGGTTCTGATATATGCTATAACATAGATAAATCTTGAAAATGTACCCAGTAAAAAGAAGCCGGCCACAAAAGATCTCATATTGTATGATTTCACTTACATGAAAATGTCCAGGATAGTCATCAACCTCAGCTCTTAGAACTACCTGCCAATCCATTTTTTTAACCTTGGTCAGTTCCCCTACTCACTTTAACATAAATTCTAAGCCTTCACCAAGCCATTCTCCCCTCACCCACCTCCACAACTCTCCACCTACCTCTTCAGACAATCTTGCTTTCTACCTCAAAATTAATTTCTCAGTCTCCTCTCTATAAACTTCTATCTGCTCCTGTGTTCATTCAACTCCCTTTTTCCTTCAAGTCACAAAAAGGAATATAGAAACAAGCTCACTTTAATATCAGATTCCTCCATGTAATTCAGTTCTAAACACTGTCATGAAGAACTCAATGAAAAATTAAATGGTTCATCTAAAAAAATATCTGAGGATTTATAACTATACCTAATCCAAAGTTAACATCATTGCAGTTCAAAAGTTAAAAATTAGGCATAGCAAGCTAGTTATAAAGACACAATATATCCTTCTCTACGTACCTGTTAAAGGTTTGAGAGTCCTTGACACAGTGTCAGGAGATACCCTTAACATTCTGAGATTTGAAGAGTGATACTCCAAATCTCTAGCTGGCTCATGAGAAACAAATGGAGGCAACAGAGATGAAAAAGATTCATTAATGTCTGTATTAGAAGGACATACCTATGAAAAAAGAGAAAGATTAATTTCAGACTTCATCTACTAAAAAATAAACCTCATTTTTATGAATATGAATGCTAAACAGTTATACCAGTTCCTTAAGATCATACTCTTAATTCTCTTGAATTCATATATATTGTCATATCTTATTTGGTTAATTCCAAGAAGGCTCTACAAATTATTGAGGGTTTTCAAGTCAACCTGTACTGAATATTACAGATAAGAGACGTAATAGTGTTCTATCACTCAGAAGTTTGATCCTAACAATAATTGTATGAACACTGCAGGATTTGAATATTGTAATATTCTTGACAAGCTCAAGGATTTTTTTTCCCCTTAAGTAGGAAAGATATGCTAGGGTAAGGAAAGAAGTGAGAACAGAAATATTTTCAAGAAATCCACAAATGTTTAGAAGAAAAATAAAAGCACCAAAGAACTGGATCTGTGATCAGTTACCAAAAAAATTAGAAACTATTATTAGTGATGTTGGTACATAAATATATACAACTCTTCACAAAATATACTGCCATATATTAATATATGAGTATACATATATTCTCATATAAAAACAACATACCACTTTTAGGTTTATTTTCCTAAAATATTATTTCAGTGCTGTCCTCCCAGGATGGAGTCTGAAATTTTTCTATCCTCTTTATGAATTTTTCTATCCTCTTTATGAAAGTTTTTTTCATTGTGTAGTAACAAACATTCTTATGAAGTTTGCAGAATGTGAAATAATTCTACTTTTACTGCCTATATCGTTTCTCTAGACCCATGGTTCTCAACTGGGGAAGATTTTATACTCCCTCCCTCCCCCACTAAGGAACATGTGGCAATGCCTGGAGACATTTTTCTCTGTCCTAACTTTAGTGGAGGTAATGCTACTGACATTCAGCACATAAGAGGCCAGGGATGTTACTAAACATCCTAAAATGCACAGAACAGCCCCACACAACAAAGAATTAGCCAACCCCAAACCAATAACGTGGAGAAACCCTGCTCTAAACATAACACAAAGTTCTGAGTTTACAACTCTCCTACTGCTGAAGGAGACACACAGCTCACTAATGTACAGCTGACCCTTGAACAGCATAGGTTTGAACTGTACTGGTCCACTTATACATGGATTTTTTCTCTTTCTTTTTTTTTTTTTTTTATCATTCTCTGAAGAAGGGACATATTTTATTAATCCTAAATTGCTTAGCAGATTAATAATAAAAGCTTAGTACATATGATCAACAAGTCCAACTGCAGGGCCCACAGAAAACTCAAATGAGTTTAAGGTGAGTTTGCTTCTTTTTCATCTGATTCATCATCCATAACCTGTTCTACGCCTTCTACTTCTGGAATATAAAACTGCAGCATGTTCTGAATTCCATTTTTCAGAGTAATGATTGAACTGGGGCAGCTGGTACAAGAACCTTGGCGTTTCAGCTGTACGATGCCATCTTCAAAGCCTTTATAGATCACATCTCCTCCATCTTCCTGCACAGTTGGCCGTATTCTAGGATCTAACAATCCCTTAACCACTGCCACAACTTCATCATCATCCTCAGATCCTGCTTCTTCTGAAGGTGTTTCCTCAGTAACTAAAGGTAAGCCAGATGCAAAGAAATCCATAATAGTAGCATAGATATCTGGTTTCAGTAAATTCCAGTCTAATTCTTCATTCTCCTTTGTGACAGTGATGAAATCTGGTCCAAAAAAGACACTTTTTACTCCCTCAATCCTAAATAACTGCCTAGCCAGAGGGGAGCGAAATGCCGTAGCTGGTGTGGGAAAATCCATGGTTCTTGTCTCAAGAACTGGTTTTCCTGGAATAAACTTTAAACTGTTGGGATTCGGGGTATCTTGTGTTTGAATAAACATGTATCTCACTGTGTTACATAAGGTTGCAGGGAGTGGGAAAAGCGGTCTTTGGACAAACTGATGCAGAAGCTGTTTCTTAATTGTATATGGATTCGTCACATGACAGAATCGCCTCCGCAGCCCCGCGGCAGCGGCAGCAGCTCCCCAGCCCAAGCGGGCCGCCGCCGCCATCTTGGGATTTTTTTTTCAATAGTAAATACCACAGTACTACACATGATCCAAGATTGGATGAATCTGTGGATGTGGAAGAATCCTGGATTTGGTGGAATCGGGGATACAGGAGGCCAACTATGGATTTTCAGTGCCCCTAATTCACACCTTGTTCAAGGTCAACTGTATATATCACATATGTGATAGATGAATACAAGTGTGTGCACATCGCGCTTAATAGCAGTTTCCCCCTAAAGCTTCTAAACATAGGGAAAACGATTTCTATCCCAATTTTGACTTCAAATTTCAAAGCTTCAAAATACATGGATATTAGAGTAGGTAATAAAAAAGAAAATGTAGAATGAAAAAGATGGGACATATTTAAGAGATCAACAGATATTTATCACTAAAAATTAGGGGAGTTAGGAGGGAAAAAAAATCAAGATTGGTTTATTTCCTAGTTTATAATCAACAATGAAGACAGAATCAATGACAATAAAGAAACCAAGAAATGTTAACACCTCTAGAAGAACAGAAAATCTGTAAGTCACTCTGACTTTAGAAAAAAGATAAGTTATTCTGATTTGGGCAAGGTAAATTTGAGATGATGGGAATATTCACAACAAAATGTCATACAAGATAGTATATGGGTCTATGTAGGCGAAATATTAGGGTCTAAAAATGGATGTGATAACCATTCACACAGAGAAAAGCATTTAAATCTTAATTTAAGATTAAGATAAATGTTAGTCATTCAGTTTTGTCAGACTCTTTGTGACCCCATGAACTGGGGCACACTAGGCTCCTCGGTCCATGGGATTCTCCAGGTAAGACTAATGGAGTGGGTTGCCATTTCCTTCTCCAGGGGATTTTCCCCACCCAGCAATCGAACCCAGTTTCCTGCACTGTAGGCAGATTCTTTACCTTCTGAGCTAACAGGGAAGTCCATGGGATGGATAGGAAACCAACAAGACAAAAAGGAAAGAGATCTAAGGAGTCAACCTTAAGTAATAGTTAAGAGTTATATGGCTGAAATAAGGGATACTAAAACAGTATTTTATTATAGAAGCTAAAAGAATGTAACATGCTTCTAGGAACAAGGCAAGAGAAAGAACAAAACAACAAATTAGAATAGGAAACTCCTGGTAATAGCCTGATCTAATTTCACTAAATTAAAGGGAACTACCAGCCAGGCACTATATACATAATATATACCTTACCCCATTCAATATAACAATATTTGAGGTTGATTATTACTGCTTATTTCTTTATGTAGACAAGGAAGGAGAATGATCCTCCAAAATTATTTGACCAAGGTACAAGGCTAACAAAGTAACTGAACATGGATGTAGTGAACAAGTCACTACAATCTCACTACAATTCTCCACACTCTCTTCATAGCCCCAACCTACATCATACATAAGTGGATACCCAAATAGTCATTCAGAGAATGATGGATAGGTATCAAAGTGAGACAAACAAGTATGAACGACTCTTCTGAGACATAGATGAGAACAAGGAAGAAACTAAAAAGTAGGCAAACCTACTGAGAGCAAGTTGAGCCATGTAGAAAGATGATTACCATTACTCATTGCTTCTCTAATATTTAGCATTATATAAGTCCCAGACCATAGTAGAGACCTAAGAATGAAAGTCAACATAGAAAAGAGCATCCTCCCTGGACTAAAAAATATACACTTCAAGTTACAGTTAAGGGCAAATAAAATTTGGTATTGTGTCAGAGTTAATCTTAGCACATCACTATTAACTAAATAAATATATATCGTACATCTTCAAATAGACTTTATCTATGTGAAAAGTTGACATAAATTACAAAAGTAGTTCTAATTAAAAAAATTCAAGTTCTATATATAAAACTCAAGTTTAAATATAATTAACAGTGCTATTTTAAAAGAGTAAATCCTAAGATTTCTAATAATAGGAAAAAAATTTTTTCTATTTCTTTAATTTTATATCTTTATGAAATGATGGGTGTTCACTAAAACTACCGTGGTAATCATTTCATGACGTATATAAATCAAGTCATTACACTGTATCCCTTAAACTTATTATACCTTAATAAAACTGAAAGAACAAAAAGAAACTCTAAGTTTAAAATTGATATTTTGCTTCTCATTCTTATTAAAACTAACTTTGACCTTCATTCTTGCCAAAATAATGCAAAATCTTGGCTTTGGTGTCACTGAAGAACAGTTAAACAGGGAGGCAGTTTATGGTATATTCATTAAGTATACATACAGGTTAGTTTCAAATACTAGTTCCCCTACTTACTAAATGATTATCAGCAAGTTCCATAACCCTCTAAATATCAATTGTAAAATGGGGATGATAATCAGTTCAGTTTTCAGTCGCTCAGTCATGTCGGACTCTTTGCAACCCCATGAACCATCAGGCCTCCCTGTTCATCACCAACTCCTGGAATCCACCCAAACCCATGTCCATCGAGTCGGTGATGCCATCCAACCACCTTATCCTCTGTCATCCTCTTTTCCTCCTGCCCTCAATCTTTCCCAGCATCAGGGGCTTTTCCAATGAGTCAGCTCGTCGCATCAGGTGGCCAAAGTATTGGAGTTTCAGCTTCAGCATCAGTCCTTCCAATGAACACCCAGGACTGATCTCCTTTAGGATGGACAGGTTGGATCTTCTTGCAGTCCAAGGGACTCTCAAGAGTCTTCTCCAACACCACAGTTCAAAAGCATCAATTCCTCGGAGCTCAGCTTTCTTTATAGTCCAACTCTCACATCCATACATGACCACTGGAAAAACCATAGCCTTGACTAGATGGACCTTTGTTGGCAAAGTAATGTCTCTGCTTTTTGATATGCTGTCTAGGTTAGTCATAACTTTCCTTCCAAGGAGTAAGCGTCTTTTAATTTCATGGCTGCAGTCACCATCTGCAGTGATTTTGGAGCCCAGAAAAATAAAGTCAGCCACTGTTTCCCCATCTACTTGCCATGAAGTGATGGGACCAGATGCCATGATCTTAGTTTTCTGAATGTTGAGTTTTAAGCCAACTTTTCACTCTCATCAAGAGACTTTCATCAAGAGGCTCTTTAGTTCTTCTTCGCTTTCTGCCATAAGGGTGGTGTCATCTGCATATCTGAGGTTATTGCTATTTCTCCCAGCAATCTCGATTCTAGCTTGTGCTTCTTCCAGCCCAGTGTTACTCTGCATATAAGTTAAATAAGCAGGGTGACAACTTACAGCCTTGATGTACTCCTTTTCCTATTTGGAACCAGTCTGTTGTTCCATGTCCAGTTCTAACTGTTGCTTCTTGACCTGCATACAGATTTCTCAGGAGGCAGGTAAGGTGGTCTGGTATTTCCATCTCTTGAAGAATTTTCTATAGTTTGTCGTGATCCACACAGTCAAAGGCATAGTCAATAAAGCAGAAATAGATGTTTTTCTGGAACTTTCTTGCTTTTTTGATGATCCAGCGGATGTTAGCAATTTGATCTCTGGTTCCTCTGCCTTTTCTAAAACCAGCTTGAACATCTGGAAGTTCACAGTTCACGTATTGTTGCAGCCTGGCTTGAAGAATTTTGAGCATTATTTTACTAGTGTGTGAGGTAAGTGTAACTGCGGTAGTTTGAGCATTCTTTGGCATTGCCTTTCTTTGGGATTGGAATGAAAATTGACCTTTTCCGGTCCTGTGGCTTCTGCTGAGTTTTCCAAATTTGCTGACATATTGAGTGCAGCACTTTCACAGCATCATCTTTTAAGATTTGAAATAGGTCAACTGGAATTCCATCACCTCCACTAGCTTTGTTCATACTGATGCTTCCTATGGCCCACTTGACTTCACATTCCAGGATGTCTGGCTCTAGGTGAGTGTGAGTGATCACACCATCGTGATTATCTGGGTCATAAAGATCTTTTTGTACAGTTCTTCTGTATATTCTTGCCACCTGTTCTTAGTATCTTCTGCTTCTGTTAGGTCCATACCATTTCTGTCCTTTATTGAGCCCATCTTTGGTATTGGCCCATCTTTGGTATCAAGGGAAATGTTCCCTTGGTATCTCTATAATCCTACCTGATAGGACTGACCAAAGGACTAAATGAATTGAGGTATCAGATATAAAGTAAACCTCTTAGCACAGTTATTTGAGAGCAAAAATGTTAGCTATCATTTTCATCCCCATTGTTATTAAATTGAAAATTAGAAGTAAACAATGTCTAGAATGTTGAAGAAAATAAAACTACCTATAAATAAATTCTACTATCTGTAAATAAATTCAATAAACTGAAATAAAAGGAAAAGCTCATCACAATATTATTGTTAATTTTTTCTTTTTAACTACCCAAACCTACAGGTCAAAATATAATTGCAACTCTAACTAGCAGCTTTCCAATGACATATTTATCTTATACATGGGAAAACAGGAAAACAAAAATAACATTAAGTGCACCATATGTATGACCTAACTATATTTAATGACCAATAGAATGTAAGGATACATTATCAGGTAACAGGACTCAGGGTGGGGCTGACAGTATCAGACAAAACCAGATGGGCAATGGGATCAGAGAACCATTAAAGCCAAAAGATCCAAGGATCCAAGCAAATCAAGCCTTGTATAAAACAAAATTTTGACTTTAAGATATCTCTGAAATTAAAATCTTTCAGGGGCTTCTAAACAGAAATACCCGAATATTTCAGGGCCTATTCCAAGGGCGGTTACACTGAAGGCCAGTGGGTGGAAAAAGCACAGTTGAGTATCTCCATGAATGTGTTTACTCTTAACACCACCCCAGAGGTTCTTGCTGGCACAATTTGAAAGAGTTAAGACATTTCAAGATGAAAGGCCTGGATGCTCCAAAGGCTGGCCTATTTTCCCAAAACACCATAGAACTTACTGAATCTCATGGTCTACAAAACACAAACATTTCTTTTATGCCAACCTCTAATAAATTAATGCAGCATACTCCTGGATATCAGATGAAAACTAGATTACACATCGCAATTTGGTATCAGAGGATCTAAGTAGCCCTTTATTCTCATCCCCGTTTTTCAACTAAAATTTCTTTCCCCACCATATAAGAAATGTCAAACAGAAAGACTTACAGAATCTTCAAAACTGCTGTCTTCCTTAGATGGTAGCTGTACAGTAGACTGCCAGTGCAGGGAGCTGTCACAAATCTCTAGATCATCAAGCAAATTTTCTAAACCTGCTACCTCAACGCACTCACCAGTCAAGTCACCTTGGTCACATATCTGGGAAACAGTAAAAAGTAAAAATAAAAACAAACAATACCGTTTTCTAAAACAATAGTGAAAAAGACCATGTCTCTCCCCAATACTCATTTTATTGTCTCACCTCTTGTCTTTTACTGCATACAACAGCATTTTCATCTACGCTACAGCATTCAGTATCATCATCCAGAGTACAGATGTCAGATTCAGCCTTCCCCTGCAGGCCCTCTACAAAATAGGAGTCATTTTGCATAACTGTATGTATAGTAAACCTGGACTTGGCTCCCAAAGGCCGAGGAATTTCACCTTGGCCTGTATCAGCTTTCAGCAGTGTCTTTTGGCCAACTGCAATTAATGGTGCATTACTGATCATTGGTAAAGCACCTTGTGACTTTGCATCACATGCCACCAAGTTTGCTGAAAAGCTGCTTCCTACAGCTGCAGATGGACCTTCAGTGATGTAACTAGAGTTTACATTCTTACCCAAAATACAGTTTGAGGAATCTGCAACTTCTTCAAAGGTGTGCTGCTTTAAATCTTGTGAAACCAAAGAATCTGAAGTCCATACTTTCATTGGGTAAATAATGTTTGAAGATCCTAACTTCTCTGCAAGGTCAAGAGCAGAAACAGACTTTATCTTCCCAATGGGAAGAAACTGTTCATTGTCTATACCATACTGAAATAAAGTTGACCATGTTTTGCCAAGACCAACAGCCTGTCTGAGAGATTTCCCACTTAAAGAAGATGATGACTTAAGCTCTGGACTAAGAGGAAGTGGCTCAATGGCTACTTCCTGCGGAGCACTGGGGATCGACTTTAAATCCTGACGCCAGTACAGGGAGCTAGCACCATCATCTTCTTTATACAATGGTTCTGAAGCTCCTGATTCAAACACCCCAGGAGTAGACTGATAGCGTGGATGATTAAGTTTATCAAAGGAAAGGTTTTCATCATAATTTAACAGGGAAGGATCTGGACTTTTTGGTTCACTTTCTTGGCGGTCATTTGTTAAAGATTTGTTAATGTCAGTTTGGATTTCATTTACTGTACTCTCTTTCTTGGAAGGTTCAATAGAGGCAATAACTGCCTGAAAAGCTACATTTTCTGTAGCATCAACATTTTTCCCACCAAAAACAGAAGTTGCCTCTTGGTTTCTTTCTTCTTGAAAATACAGTTGTTCTGATGTCTCATTTGAGTTGGATTTAACAGTCTGAAGAGGACCACCAGAAATCTCCATCGTAGAGGTATCAAGCCCCCGGGAGAGTATATGTGCTTCTGAAACTTCTACAAAATTATCAGGAACTACAACATTCTCAATATATTGTATTTCTGAAGATCTGGGATGCACCCCTGAAAATACTAAAGTATTTCTATTCTCCTTTAATTCAAAACATTGAGATAATCCTTTCCCCAGATCCTCTTCATTTCTTTTATAACTCTCCAAAGAATCCACCTTTTGTTTCACCTCATTCTCAACAAGACCCCTTAAACACACACTCTCAAAATAATGACTATCAGACATCGAGGGAACCTCGCTTCCTCCTGATCCCAACAAACAATGCCAGAAAGAATGTGGCATTTTATTATTAAAATGAGGAGCAACTTCATGTGGAAAAGAAACATGATCCTTACTGATTAGACATATTTCTGGATGGTGTGAAGCTCCCTGCTTGCTCGGTGGCATATTTGAAAAAGAGAAATTGTCACTTTCCTTAGGAATTTTATTTCTATCAATTGTGTCAGATGAATCTGAATAAGAATCATGGTCCTTACTGGCTAAATATTTTTCTGATTGTTGTAAAGTTCCTTGGTTCCCATACTGTGGATACAAATAAGAAGCATCAAAACTGTCACTTCCTTTAGGATTTATGTATTCATCACTTATATCAGATGCAGTTGAAAAAGAAACTTGATCTTTATCAGCTAAATTGGTTGCTGGCTCCTGCATAACTTCTTGTGTCTCCCATGACATATATGAATAAACAGCACCATAATTACCAGAGTCTTTGCAGGTTTTCAGATCATCAAGTGTATTAGATGAAACAGTCTCTTCTTTAGTCCCTTGTCCAGGAGTGAATAAAGAGTGCTGAGACTTAACAGCTGTACTACCTCTAAGTGGGTGCTGAGATAGACTAAAGCAACTGTTAACTAAGTCTGAAGCTACTCCTGAGGCTGCCTGGAATAAAGCTTCACTAACTTCCGACGGTCGAGAAAACCATTCAGTATCTTCAGACTTACCAGGAATTCCCCTGAAAATATACAGTTAAAAATAAATAAATAACACATTAAAAACATTTTTTTAAAATACTAAAATGAAAAAAATGCAAAACTGATGTTACTAAAATTGAGGTTATTTGAAAAGTACGTTGAAAAAAGTTCTAATTTCAAATTCCTTTAGAGTGGCTGATGATTGAATACAGCAAATTTTTTGTAGACAGAAGGTGAACTACCATCCTATGACCTGATATTTTCTCAGGCTTCTCTCAAAACAATACTATGCCCCAAAGATGATTCTTTAAATGAAAATTTCAAACTTTACCATTTAAAAATATGCAGTTTATTAACTATCATAATTTAATACTCATTTAACACGCATTAATTCTTTTACTAGTTATTATGTTCTTAAAAACCACTTAAGTGATATACTCTTCAAACAAAACATAACCTAATCATTGGCTAACTACTGTGTACAGAACACTTTTCATCAAAGTAATTTTAAAGTAAAACACAGCATAAGGGCAGAGGTTTTTAACTCTGTAAACACTTATAGTTTTTCATTTATGTTGTCTTTTATTCTTGCATAATCCCAAACATGATTTGAAGAATTCGAGACTTGTCTCTCATGATGACTAAAAGACATTCATTTGGAATAACTTTAGATACATCTATTAGAAAAATCATGCTACTTTATTACTTACTATCTGCACCTCCTACACAGGAAAGAGAGATAACTAGGTTCACTCAATATTGGCTGACAAAAATGAAAATGCCAAACAAGCTAGTGACCATGAAATGAATACTTTTTACAGAATGGGAGTGGACTGATGGACAGCAAATCAGCAGATATGTAAAGAAGAAAATCGAGGGTGCTTTCTAAACTAAAATATGCCTAATGTGCTAGAATACATTAGAAATTATTTCTAAATAAACTACACTCCCCTGCCTCATCTTTCCACATGTTATTCTGCCAAATTAACATGTACATTGTCTTAAGGCCTTGTTACCTTCAAAGTGTGTACTGAGAACATCACCCCAAAGTCTCACTAGAAGTCATTAATTTAGTAACAACTTAGAACAAGAAAAGAAAGAGTAAAAAGGTTATAGCCAAGTACAAAAAAAACCATCCTACCTCAGAGGTGCAAAATCTAGTTCGCTTTGATGAAATAAGGAATCAGGCCCAAACTCTTGACGTTCTGTCAAACATGTCAGCAAAGGCAAATCAGGAGAAGCAAAATTGTCCTGTAGGACTGCAAAGTTTCAAATATAAAAATGTTGGGAATGCTGATAATTAACTGCTTAGCTTATATAATATTTTAAAGAACCTAAATGTTGCCATCTAGAAGTTTCTACAAGCATTAGTATGATAATGTAACAAGAGCAGCAAATACCATTTATTAAGATCCAAGCTTGGAGAAGAAAATGGCTACCCACTCCAGCAATCTTACCGGGAAAATACCATGGACAGACGAACTACAGTCTGTCTACAGTCCAAGGGGTCGCAAAGAATCAGACACAACTGAGCGACTAAACAACAACAAGATGTAGGCACTTAACATACAATATTTTATTTAATCCTCATCACAACCTTGAAGTATAGGTATTATTATAGCCATCTTATAGATGAGGAAACATGATCATAAAACTTAAAAAATATTAAGTAATCTGTTCACATTCAAATAGCTTATATGCCAGAGTACAACCTAGACCTAAACACTAGATTTTTCAGCAAATGCTCCTAACAATTATGATTGTTTCTTTCCATCTTACATCAAAGTGTGGTTCACAGGCTCCCAGACATCCTTAAAGTACTCCCAGAAGATGCCTGGGTCAAAGTGATAATCAAAATAATATTAACATATCATTTGCTTTATTCACTCTCATTATCTCATAAGGATACCATGGAATTTCCCAGAAGCTACATCACATATGATAGAGCAACATACTGAAGGCAGAAGCAGATATCAGAACCTGTTTGTCTTCTAATAAGTCAGTCTTCTAATATTATATATTTTTAAGTAAAATAACATTAGTCTTCTAAATATTTTTGATTTGGAAACAGTTATTTTTCTAATAAACCACATTAATTAATAACATCAACAGAGTTGCTACTTTTGAATGAATTGATAAACTCATTTTTAAAGTTTTTCAGTTTTAATAATTTCAAATATTGGAAACCATCAATAAGCCACATCAACAAAAGCTCTCAGTAATTTTAAAGTGTGTCAAGGAAATCCTATGGCCAAAAAGTTTGAGAACTGCTAATTTAAGGGGGAAAAAATGCTTGTGAATACCTGAATGTCCCCTTAAATAAGTTCTAACATCCCTAAATATGTACAACTAGGTATAAACTCCTTATTCCTTATAGTATTTATACAATTACAAAAACAAAAAATTAAACACTAGCAGAAACAAATCTATAAAACCAATAGTTTTCTGTTTCATATTAATTTAACTAGACAAGTGACATTTTGCTAAAACTGAAATGTTCTTTAAATATGAATGTAATACTGTGACTACAGGATACCTTCTTGATTTCACAATGCCTATAATAATACTGCATTCCTTCCCTATCATAACTGTCACACTCTTGTTTTAATCTTCAGTCTGTCTGCTTCCCACTTAGATAACCAATTCCATGTCTGCTTTATTTAGAGCTATATCCTCAGTGCTTAGCAAAATACCTGCTACAAAGTACCTCCTACACTTAGTAGGCACTCAGAATACAATTATTTATTTATTAAATGGATTAATCAAAAATGAGAAACTGAACAATAACAATAACATTTACCACCAAGGACTAATTGGTACAATTCTTCCTTGGCTCTGGCTCAGTGTTAAACCTTCACAACAGAAATCTTTCATTCCTCTAAGAATTGTGAAGATTTTTAAACAAAGACCCCACATTTCCTCACACTTGGACAACTGTTGATGGCCTGGATACTCTTTTTTGAAATATCTAACCGTTCTGGCCCCAGTCATCATCATGACATTTGCCACTGGTGAGATCCACTCTACATCGACTGGATTCAAGCCTAACAAAGTCACGATGATGAAATTTCCTCTGGTCATCAGATCCCAGGATCTGATCTAATTATTAAAATGTTCTATTTTACCTATGGTAACTGAGAAACTGGAGCTATAAAACTCAAACCATGTAGCAGAATCTCCAACCCAATGCTGAAACTATTCTATTAGAGAACTTCACTTATTTGCTGTGACATAATGCTCACTTTTTTTTGGTTATATAGCTATATAACATTATTAGCTATTATTAAATATATTCCATTATTAAATGGCTCTACTAGTTGAAAACAGCCTCCCTATAAGTTTTGTACTCTCATTTTCAACTCTAGACTAGGAATTGGCAAACATTTCCTATAAAAGGTCAGCGAGTAAATATTTCAGGCTTTGTTGATCACACATGGTGTCTCTGTCCCATGTAATTCTTTTGTTCGTTTGTTTTTTACAATCCTATAAAGATGGTAAAACCTTTTTTTAGCCCACAGACAGTACAAAATCAGGCTTCGGCCTGTGACTAGTAGCTTGCAGACCCCTGCTCTAGACCATTATCCAACTCATCCTATGGTACTATCATTTTCCTTTTATTGTACTGTCTTTCCAAAAGACAACATAGCTTTCCTCTATATATTCCTAGCATATAACACACAATAGGTACTTAGATATTTGCTAAATAAATGAATAAATGAAAAATAAGTTGCTTCATCTTTAGCATGACAGTCCTTCAAATATCCGATCATAGCAAAGTCTTTTCTTTCATATGCTATCAATGTTACCTCCTCTTACAAGGGAACTCTAACTCTAGTCAACATCTTTCTTTAAATAAAAAACTAAAATTGACTTTGATGATCTACATCATTGAATATATTGGCACTGATACTTTTTACTTGGATAGCATTTGTATTTGAAAAGAAGTTGTTGGATTAACTGCTAATTCATGCTCCTCTACAAAATTCTGTTAAGACACCTCCATGGTGAATCCCACACCCTTGACAAAGGTTAACTGTAAAATCTGTGGTGGTTGCATTTTCTTCAATTTTTGAAAATAAAAATCTGAAGAAAACAGAAGGAAAAACAAAATAATATTTGAATTATGATTTAGGCATAAAAAAATTGAAATTACCATATTGCCTAAGCATTCCCATATATGTGTAACAATCAAAAGTAATGATAGAACAATTCTACCTCCTACCTTGATGATTTGAAAAGGACTTAAAGTTTATCTTTTGTAAAGAGCTAATAAATTAGTTCCATATTAAACAGAGGAAAGCAGGAAGATCTGCCTCAGACAAGTCATTTAACCTCTTTATCTCAATGTTTGGATCTAAAAACTTAGGATAATAATATATGCCTTAACTAGTTTTAAGAATCTAATTAGGTAAGCATGAATATTTGTTTTTTGTTTGGCTTTTATACACCATGGAGCCTCCATTGCTGAGAAAAGTAGTCAAAGGATAACATATGGCTACCCCCAAGAAAAACTCCACAAAGTCAGGACTGAGGAGGCATATCCATTAGAGAAAGTTTTTTATGCCTTCTGAGAGCAATAGGGAATGATAAAATGAGGAGCAATTGCATATTTAACACAACGAGACCAGCTGGCCAGTGTGAAAAACCAGAAATAAGCTAATACATTTGAGTACAGTTCTACAGAGCTCAACTCAAGGATTTAGATGCAAGATTTGCAGTCCCCCATATGTATTTTGTAAATGTGAGGTATTACTACTAGCTAAAAATAAAGAGGTATTACCTAGCAATGGAGAACATAAGAGGTCTCTGTTGGGATCCTTTCCTTTATTTTCTGATTGGGTCAATATACCTTCCTCCAAAGAGGCAAAGTCAGTTACTTCAGTCCCTTTCTCTCTCACATTAAACCCAGTCTGGGCTGTATTCAAGGTGTAGGATGAGTCCACTTCTTGAGGAAGACAATGCCAAGATTCTGTTCTCTAAAACAAGAATTTTAAAGGAAAATATGCTAAATCATTAACTGAGTTACCATACATATTAACATTTAGATTAAAATGTCCATTCACATTAGCATATAGCTTCCTATTTCACATTTTCATCAAAATTTTTAAAAAATCAAAGCTGTTCTCTATTTTTCACAATATTAATAAGATTTTTTACCTTTTCCCAATATTACACATCTTTTAACATGTTGAATGACTGGCATTTCTGCTACTCTTTAATATTACTTCTCATCATTAAAACAATAAATTTGGTTCTTCATGATGAATCCTACAATATGATAATAAAACTGAAAAAAAAAGTTCCAAATCTAAAGCTACAATATTCTCTACATGTGACCACTTTACTAACTCTTATTTGCAATACTAGTTTCTAGTGGACTTCTTGGTGCAAAACATCTTGTGGTTTCACGAGTCACGAGTAGTACATTTGTCTCTTTCAAATGTTAACTCTTCTATTAGTGGCATAATTCAGAACAATGTCTCTCAAAATATCTATGGGAAGGATCAGTTCTTCCTACTTTCAACTCATTACAGAATAACATTTTATTAAAATACTAATAAAAATTAATAGGTAACAAGTAAATAAAAAATAAATAAATTTACAAACTAGTTTAAAAAAAAAAAACAACAACAACTAGGAAAATGAAACTGAAAAGGTATATAAGCCCAAAATACAAAACACATGTCTAAGTGTCATTTTCTGGTACTAAAAAACATCAACTTGCTATAAAAGTTTCTAAACATTTCCTCTCAATTCTTTTTATTTCTTGACAGCTACAGGCAATTCATGGACTGGCACCAATACACAAACCACACCAAGTAGCAACGCTGAACTAAAGTTGAATTAAAGACTAATGGTAACAAGTTTTATAGGTGTTTTCTGTTTAAATCTGGTTATTTAAAAAACAAATTTGGTATTAGCTAATAATTAAGAATGTTCTTCCTGTCATGCTATTAAAGTATTCCTTTATTTTCATTTTAAATTAATTTGATTAATTTAATTAATTTGATCAACGAAATTTGATCAAATAGCATTAGAGCATCATTTTTCCCCAGTTACATCTGATAAAATACAGCAATAAATTTCTTCATAATGTAACAGCTTCACAGTAGTAGGCAGATGGTAGATGAGACCTTTAATTAGATTTGATAGCAGTCTTTAACATTTTCACTCATTAAGATTAATCAGTAGTTTTAAATGCTTTTGTTCTCTAACCTTGTTCTATATTTTTTTATACAAGGAAATTTTATTTTCCTTAAGAATATAAAAGACTTCATCAATGAATTCATTAGATCCAGAAACCTTTTTGATAGTTGGTACCATTGTAACATGCTTGATTTCCTCTTAGTTCCAGTTCAACTCCATAAGCTTTGACAGGTTTGTATGAAGTCTATTTCATTAATGTGTTTTTTTTTTTCTTGACTGGATTTGTTAGGAATGTATACATTTTTTCTATCTTCAGTGTAACAATTCTACTTTCTAACTTATTTCTGCTTTTCTCTTTACTGTGTTTCTTCTACTTGCAGTTTTTCATTAATTATACAAACAAAATTTTTTGTTAAACAATGATTTTAACCTATCTGTTTTAAAAAATGAGACAATAACATTAAATTGATGGCTATCAACAGGCTTAGATATATAATGTACTGATATTTATTTTCTTCCTCAACCAAATCAAATTTTTTTAACTCCCAAATGACCCACATATAAAAATACATATTATAATTTAGGAAGATTTCACAATTTCAACAAAACTTTAAAGGATTATTTCCATTAGTTAAAATTCTCTAAACAAACTTAAGAGTAAGCGTTAAAAAAAAAAAAAGGATACACAACTATCCACTACCTAATATCAGCTATAAAAAAATAAATATACAGAGAAAAATAATATTGGAGAATAATATTCTAAAATATTAACACTATCCATCTATGGCTTACCGGATAACAGACCTTTGACACTCCAAAATATACCAATCCCATCCATGTCAGATAAATTAGTAAGATTCATAACATCAAATTGCTATTGGAAACATGCTTTATACATTTTGCATACTTGAAAAATAAAAAGGAATGTGAGAATGGTTTTTTTTTTCTTTTGAGGGCACTCAATTCAATAGGGGATAGTGGGCCAATGAGTAGGTTTGAAAGCAAGGGAACTGCAGTCATCTTGGGATTCTCACTACAACAAAATTTCGGGTCCCCAGCTCAACTCTTAGCCCCTCTGACCACCAGGGTTTGAGCCTTGTCCCATAGTTTATTCCTCACTACAGATGAAAGATGTATTCATTTGTTCTCATGTCCATACTCTGACCTCCACAGATCACTCTAGCTCCTAAACTGCAATAATTGTGCAACCTTAAGAAGACAATTATCCTATCACATTTACACTTCCCTGGTAGCCCAGTTGGTAAAGATCTGCCCGCAATGCAAGAGACCCAGGATTGATCCCAAGGTCAGGATGATCCCCTGGAGAAGCAAATGGCAACCCACACCAGTATTCTTGCCTGGAAAAATTCCATGGACAGAGGAGCCTGGTGGACATGACTGAGTAACACTTATTAACTGCATTTTCCTCTTCACTACTCTTAAGTGTTCATCAGTTCAGTTCAGTCACTCAGTCATGTCCAACTCTTTGCAACCCCATGGACTGCAGCACGCCAGGCTTCTCTGTCCATCACCAACTCCCAGAGCTTACTTAAACTCATGTCCATCGAGTCGGTGATGCCATCCAGCCATCTCATCCTCTGTCATCCCCTTCTCCTCCCGCCTTCAATTTTTCCCAGCATCAGGGTCTTTTCCAGTGAGTCAGTTCTTCGCATCAGGTGGCCAAAGTATTGGAGTTTCACCTTCAGCATCAGTCCTTCCAATGAATATTCAGGACTGATATCCTTTAGGACAGACTGGTTGGATCTCCTTGCAGTCCAAGGGACTGACTCTCAAGAGTCTTCGCCAGCGCCACAGTTCAAAAGCATCAATTCTTTGGCGTTCAGCCTTCTTTATGGTCTAACACTCACATCCCTTAATGACAAAAGGAAAGACCATAGCTTTGACTAGATGGACCTTTGTCAGCAAAGTAATGTCTCTGCTTTTTAATATGCTGTCTAGGTTTGTCATAGCTTTTCTTCCAAGGAGCAAGCATCTTTTAATTTCAAGGATGCTGTCACCATCTGCAGTGATTTTGAAGCCCCAAAAATTAGTTTGCCACTGTTTCCATTGTTTCCCCAACTATTTGACATAAAGTGATGGGACCAGATACCATGATCTTAGTTTTCTGAATGTTGAGTTTTAAGCCAACTTTTCACTCTCCTCTTTCACTTTCATCAAGAGACTCTTTAGCTCTTCTTTGCTTCCTGTCATAAGGGTGATATCATCTGCATATCTGAGGTTACTGATATTTCTCCTGGCAATCTTGATTCCAGCTTGTGCTTCCTCCAGCCCAGCATTTCACATGATGTACTCCGTATATAAGTTAAATAAGCAGGGTGACAATTTACAGCCTTGATGTGTTCCTTTCCCGATTTGGAACCAGTCTGTTATTCCATGTCCAGTTCTAACTGTTGCTTCTTGACCTGCATACAGATTTCTCAGGAGGCAGGTAAGGTGGTCTGGTATTTCCACCTCTTGAAGAATTTTCTACAGTTTGTTGTGATCCACACAGTCAAAGGCTTTGGCATAGTCAATAAGCAGAAATAGATGTTTTTCTGGAACTCTCTTGCTTTTTCGATGATCCAACCAATGTTGGCAAATTGATCTCTGGTTCCTTTGCCTTTTCTAAAACCAGCTTGAACATCTGGAAGTTCACAGTTCACGTATTGCTGAAAACTCTCTTGGAGAATTTTGGGCATTACTTTGCTAGCATGTGAGATGAATGTAATTGTGCAGTAATTTGAACAGTCTTTGGCATTGCCTTTCTTTGGGATTGGAATGAAAACTGACCTTTTCCAGTCCTGTGGCTTCTGCTGAGTTTTCCAAATTTGCTGACATATTGAGTGCAGCACTTTCACAGCATCATCTTTTAAGATTTGAAATAGCTCAACTGGAATTCCATCACCTCCACTAGCTTTGTTCGTAGTGATGCTTCCTATGGCCCACTTGACTTCACATTCCGGGATGTCTGGCTCTAGGTGAGTGTGAGTGACCACACCATCATGATTATCTGGGTCATAAAGATCTTTTCATACAGTTCTTCTGTGTATTCTTGCCACCTCTTCTTAGTATCTTCTGCTTCTGTTAGGTCCATACCATTTCTGTCCTTTATTGAGCCCATGTTTACATGAAAAGTTCCCTTGGTATCCCTACTTTTCTTGAAGAGAGCTCTAGTCTTTCCCATTCTGTTGTTTTCCTCTATTTCTTTGCACTGATCACTGAGGAAGGCTTTCTTATTTCTCCTTGCTATTCTCTGGAACTCTGCATTCAGATGCGAATATCTTTCCTTTTCTCCTTTGCCTTTCACTTCTCTTCTTTTCTCAGCTATTTGTAAGGCCCTCCTCAGACAACCATTTTGCCGTTTGCACTTCTTTTTCTTGGGGATGGTCTTGATCACTGCCTCCTGGACAATGTCATGAACCTCTGTCGATCCATCCATAGTTCTTCAGGCACTCTATCAGATTTAATCCCTTGAATCTACTTGTCACTTCCACTGTATAATTGTAAGGGATCTGATTTAGGTCATGCCTGAATGGTCTAGTGGTTTTCCCTACTTTCTTCAATTTAAGTCTGAATTTTGCAATACTAAGTTCATGATCTGAGCCATAGTCACCACTGAACAGCGACCCCACAAGAGACTGACCCGGACTTGTCCGTGAGGTCCAGGAGTCTCCAGCAGAGGCGTGGGTCTGCGGTGGCCTGCCGCAGGGTGGGGGCACTGACTGCAGCAGTGCGCGCACGCACCTGCTGAAGGAGGTTGCCATTATCTTCACTGCCTCCACCAGTTTAACCTCAGGTCAAACAACAGGGAACTCAGCGCCCCCCATCAACAGAAAACTGGATTAAAGATTCACTGAGCAAGGCCCCACCCATCAGAACAAGACACAGTTTCCCCCTCAGTCAGTCTCTCCCATCAGGAAGCTTCAATAAGCCTCTTATCCTTATCCATCAGAGGGCAGACAGACTGAAAACCACAGTCACAGAAAACTAACCAAACTGATCACATGGACCACAGCCTTGTCTAAGACAATTAAACTACCCAAGACAGACAGGTCATGGTGGAGACTTCTGACAAAATGTGGTCCACTAGAGAAGGGACTGGCAAACCACTTCAGCATTCTTGCCTAAGAGAACCCCATGAACAGTATGAGTGTTCACAGTCATCTTTAAAAACGTTGTTTCACAAACATTTCTGCCTTTCTTACCCTTCCCCCCCCCCCCCACCATCCTATCTGCCTGGCAAAAGCTGAGTTCTAGTTGAACCTCTCCTTGTCTTAATCCAAGCAATAGCACACTGCTGAAGAAAACACACACTCAGACTAGATTTCCTTTAGATTTTTTTAAAATTAATTTTTACTGGAGGATAGTTGATTTTTTTTTTTAATTTTAAAAATCTGGCTTCCCAGGTGGCAATAGTGGTGGTAAAAAAAAAACAAAAACAAAAACAAAAAAACCCGCCTGTCAATGCAGGAGACACAAAAGACACAGGTTCAATCCCTGGGTTGGAAAGATCCCCTGGAGGAGGAAATGGCAACCCAACTGCAGTTTCATCACCTGGGAAATCCCAAGGACTGAGGAGCCTGGTGGGCTGCAGTCCGTGGGGTCACAAGGAGTCAGATGTGGCTGAGCACAGCACAGGTGAACGGCTGACTTACAATGCTGTGCTGAGCATTGTCTCCACTGAGCACTGAGTCGAGTTCCCTGTGCTATACAGTAGGTTCTCATTAGTTGCTTACCTTATACTTAGCAACAACAGTGTATACACATCAGTCCCAATTTCCCAATTCATTTCACCACTCTCCCTTCTTCCTTGGTATGCATATGTTTGTTCTCTATGTCTGTGTCTCTATTTCTGCTCTGTGAATAAGATCATCTATACCAGTTTTTCTAGATTTCATATATATGCATTAACATACAACATTTGCTTTAATTGATAACATTAAACTTCAAAGGCACTCAGCCCTGCCTGGAAATTCTACTATAATTTCCTGCCAAGCTGACTGGCCAAAATGATTACTTTACCCTTTCCTCAGAACTACTGAACTCTCCTTCCTCATTTTCTGTTCACAATTTTTCCATTTCCTCTAAGTTTATTACTATGTTCTAGATTAGTGGTTCCCAAAATTTGGTCCAAAGATCCCTAGGGGTCACTGACATCCTTTCAGGGAAGTTACATGGGCCTCCATTTTTTAACTATGTACCTATATATGGTTAGATTTTCTTCACATAATTTAAGCAAAACAATATATCCCAAAGGACTAATTGCAGAAAGCAAATCTGAAAGTTCAGTTATGACAGTTAATTTTATGTGTTAACTTGGCTGGGCCACAGGGTGCCCAGGTATTTGGTTAAACAATCTGGGCACTGTGAGAGCATGTCTGGATGAGATTAACATCTGATCCACAGACTTAGTAAAGCAGACTGCCCTTCCTGATGTGGGCAGGCCTCACCTAATCTATTAAAGGCCTGAATAGAACAAAAGGCTAGACAAAAGGTAATTCGCTCTCTCTGTCTGATGGTCTTCAAGCTGGGACATCAGTCTTCTGCCTTTGGAATCACACTTGACATAGAACTTACACCATCTGCTGGCCTGTCATCGAGCCTTTAGACTTGGGTTAGAACATATACCGTCAGTCAGCTCCTAGGTCCAGACTGGAATTAAACTATCAGTGCTCCCGGGTCCCCACATTATAGATCTTGGGATTTCTCAGCCTCCATAATCACATGAGCCAATGTGCTGAGGGAAACGCTGACTGAAACTGCCTGCCATGACCAGGCAAGTGGCCAGCCACTTGCATGAGTTATCTTAACAATAGGAGGTCCCGGCAAGTAATGCGGAAGTAACAAGCTACCACCATCAGGAAGAATTTGGGAAAGGTCAAAAGGAGAGAGGAGACACCAGCCCGAACATCCTACCAACCTTCCAGAATCCTTCTCTGGGCTGAGCTATGCACACACCACCAGGAAGGACCCTGAGACAGAATGATCAACCCAGAAACTAAACCCCATCACCATAAAACCAGAGACTGCAAGCCTCACAGCAGAATATTCTCTTGGGTTCCCTTACCCTCCTGCTCACCACCTGGGTGATTTTCCCCAACAAAATCTCTTGCTTTGTCTGCATGTGTGTCTCCTTGGATAATTAATATCCAAGTATTGAGACAAGAGCCCACTTTTGGGCCACAGAAGGGGTCCCCACTCCTGTAACAAATTCCTTATAAAACACACACAGACATACACATATATACATACATACACACACACTGTATATATGTGGGCTTTCCTGGTGGCTCAGATGGTAAAGAATCTGACTGCAATGCAGGAGGCCTCGGGTTGATCCCTGGGTCAGGAAGACCCCCTGGAGAAGAAAACGGCTACCCACTGCAATACTCTTGCCTAAAGAATCCCATGGACAAAGGAGCCTGCGGGCTACAGGCTATGGGGTTGCAGAGAGCTGCACACAACTAGGCAACTGACACTGTTGCAAACACATATGTATTATCTCCTCTTGGTTCTGTTTTCCTGGAGAACCCTGTCTAATACCACAACTGTCTTCTATTAAGGCTAACATTAAGAGATGTGCAAAAATGTAAAACAATGCCATCCTTTCAACCAATTTTTTTTGCCTTGGAAAACAGTAATTTTTCATTTTAAAACATATTTTTATGTTAATATATAATGGATTTGTTATTTAATAAATACTTAGAATGATTTAATTTTAATAAGTTAATATTGATATAGACAACCCTTATAAACAAAAACTCTTTAAAACACTTTTGAAAAATGTAAAGGAATCCTGAGACCAAGAAAAAGTAAACTGCTATTCTATATAATTAAGGCTGCCAAAGATCTACTAGAAAAGTGGAATATTAAACTAATTCACCTCTTTCCACTCTTCATAGCTAAATCAGAATTTCTCATGCTGCTTATCAAAATAAAGACAGTTTTCCAGTTACACAGGACATACCTGATCATCCCCAGAACCCCACAGAGCTATATTTTCCAAAGAGGCCACATTAGTATCATAAATCTGTGTTCCACTATCGTTTTGATATAATGGCTGTTGCCATAGATGACAGGTCAATGGAACAACCTGAAAATCAAAGACAGATTTAAACAGAGTAATAACACAATCCCTATGACTAAACAACAAACAAATTTAACATGTAAACTATGTTTGTCAGTTTATAAAGCACTTTCACAAATATAACATTTAGACTTCATAATCACTGTGCAACTTATTATCTTCACTTAAAAGTAAGGAAACAGAGGACTTCCCTGGTGGTCCAGTAGTTAAGACTCCGTCTGCCAATGCAGGAGACATGAGTTTGATCCTTGGTCCAAGGAGATCCCACATACCAGAGGGCAACGAAGCCCATGTACCACAATTACTAAGCCCGAGCTCTAGAGCCACTGTGTCACAAGTACTGAAGCTGGCACGCCCTAGAGCCATGCTCTACAACGAGAGAGAAGCCACCACAAAGAGAAGCCTGCGCAACCCAACTAGACAGTAGCCGTCACTCACCACAACTAGAGAAGCCTACGCACAGCAATAAAAACTCAGTGCAGCCAAAATTAATTAGTTATTTTTTAATTAATTAATTAAAAAAAAATAAGGAAATAGTGATTTTGGTTACACAGTATGGACTTTGGTTACAAGCACGGACTTGACATATTCCAACAAATCACACCAGTTCTTTATCCTCCTATGCGTGTACCTGGAGAAGGTAATGGCAATCCACTCTAGTATTCTTGCCTGGAAAATCTCATGGACAGGGGAGCCTGGTGGGCTACAGTCCATGGGGTCGCAAAGAGTCGGACACTACTCAAGTGACTTCGCACACATGCTTTTAGAAGTAAAAGAAGCAAGTAGAAACAAGCAAGTTACCTATTTCACAATCTTACTACTTGAGACATCTAAGAAATTAACCCTAATAACAGGAACTAAAATCATCCAAGAGCATGGAAAATGGGGACAAACTTGGGCTCATTTTGCATAATCAGAGGTTGAAGTAGGGCTCTCCTATTTGTGAAAGAAGGCAATAAAAACTGAAGCAATGCACATGGAAAAGATCAGAGGCAATCAAACAAAAATGACTTCTGTCACGTCAGGTCACCTACTGGTTCAGGATGGGTTACTGAGATTTTCCCCAGCATTCTTGGAGAGTAAGAACCCAAAGCTTCCAATGTAAAACCTCATTTTAAAGGAGATGCAAGGGGCAAGGTGGAGACAACCACAAAAACGCTGGGTAGAGAAGAATGTACCAAAAGACAAAACAAAGTAACTCTCTTGCTAAAAATGAAATTACAAACTATACTTTCAAAGGTATTTCAAAAGACTCCAAAATGAGAATACCTCAGACTCTTAAAGAGACTTTTTAAAAAGACATAATGTCCATAAAAAAAGAAGAGATTGATAAAAATAAAACAGGCAGCCATGAGTCAAGAAAAGATACATGCTCACAAAACCACAAATGTCAAAGAACCTCTGAAGGAAACTCAAGATTATAAGGTAATTTTTTCCCCCAGAATTAAAAGTTACTACACTAACAAAACATTTTTACAGAACACATACAACAATGTGCTTTGGAGGCGAAAGGCAAGCTTAACTCAAAAATCTATTCAATAACTAAAGAGATTTCTATGGTATAGACTCTTTCAAGAGGTTTTCCTCAAAAGGTAGAACGTCATGGGGCACACCCACCTTGCTTCAATGGCATTTTCTGAGGAGTAAAGAACAAAAAGCAAAGAAAGGCATTTTGCAAATTCATTTTGGCAATTTGAAACCCCTAAATAAATAAAAATAGAGCCAATGTTTTAGCACAGTTAGTATTCCTTGAGCTCTCCAGGAAATAAGAATGCCAAAATGAGTGTTCATAAAGGCTATTCACTGTAACTATGTAATGCTGGGTGTACAGCACAGGGTCTTGCCTTTGAAAACAGCTGATGCACATCAGCTTACAAAAAGAGAGTACAATTCCCTAGGATATTTGTAGAACACTAATGATACAATATTATGAAACCAACACTTTGACAACTAACCCAGTGTGTGAGAAAAAAGAACACACTCTCACTTTTATTAGCTAAAAAAACCTTAAAAGTTAAAATTAAATGTTAAAAGTTCTTATTGTCGTTCATCCGACTCTTTGTGACCCCATGGACTGCAGCATGCCAGGCTGTCCTATCTCACTATCTCCCAGAGTTTGTTCAAACTCATGTCCACTGAGTCCATGATGACAGCCAACCATCTCATCCTCTGTCGTCCCCTTCTCCTGCCCTCAATCTTTCCCAGCATCAGGGTCTTTCCAGTGAGCCAGCTCACTGGAAAAGTTCTTACTGAAAAATACATTTCTTAGAAAGATGGTAACAATAACCCGATATGCGAGACAGCAAAAGAGACACAGATGTATAGAACAGTCTTTTGGACTCTGGGGGAGAGGGAGAGGGTGGGATGATTTGGGAGAATGGCACTTAAACATGTATATTATCATATGCAAAACAAATCACCAATCCAGGTTCGATGCAAGATACATGGTGCTCAGAGCTGGTGCTCTGGGATGACCCAGAGGGATGGGATGGGGAGGGAGGTGGGAGGGGCGTTCAGGATGGGGAACACATGTACACCCGTGGCAGATTCATGTCAATGTATGGCAAAACCACTACAATATTGTAAAGTAATTGGCCTCCAATTAAAATAAATAAATTTATATTAAATTAAAAAAAATACATTTCCCAAAACTTATTTTTATTATCTACCCGACAGTTTATAGACTTCATTAAGGAAATTAATTTCTAATACATTCCCGTATATTTGATCAGTTTTCCCACAGTTGCCTCAGATATTGGTATAACCCGAATACTTGAAAGAGAATTCTTAAGATGAATGCTTTAAAATCTCACCTGCTGATGACTAAGCAGATGCCATCAGCAACTCTGATCTGAGATTAAATGCCTTCTGGTATAAACAAACAGCTTCAGAGTCCTTCCCTGATTAGTTTTTAATATTAAAAGTTAGTGGTCTTTAGTGGTCTTCCAACCACATGCTACCTATCAAAGAAACATTTTAGCTCTAAGGATGCATATCAATTAAAAGGATAAAAAAAGATATTTCATGCAACAGTAACCAAAATAACACAGGAGCAGCAGTATTAATTTCAGACAAAATGGACTTGTAAGTCAAAAACTGTTACAAGAGACAAATAAGTATATCATATAATGATAAAAGGGTCAATTCACCAAGAAGATATAAAAAGTGTAAGTATTTCTGCATCAAACCTCAGAGCTCCTAAATTAATGAGGCAGATGTTGAAAGAACTGAAGGGAGAAATACACAACAACATAATGAATAATGTTCTTTCAGTAATGCATAGAACAACCAGTCAGAAGAATAAGAAAATACAGAAATTGAACAACACTGTAGACCAATCAAACCTAACATATATAGAATACTCTATCCATAAACAGCAGAATACATTTTCTCAATTACACATGAAACATTCTTTAGGACAGAACACATGTCTAACCATAAAACTAGTCTGAATAAATTCAAGAAGACCGAAATAATACACAGTACCTTTTCCAATCACAATGTCATGAAACTAGAAATAAACAGGCTAAGAAAAAACTGGAAATTTTACAATATGTGGAAATTAAACACTACACTCTTAAACAACAAGAAGTCATAAAGGAAATCAGAAAATACCTTGACACAAATGAAAATGCAAAATACCAAAAAAATTTATGGAAGCAGTTGAAGAAGTACTAAGAAGGAAGTTTAAGCTACAAATGGCATGCCTTAAAAAAAGGCAAGATCTCAAGTAACAATCTAACTTGTACCTCAAGGAACTAAAAGAAAAACTAAAAGCTAAGGCTGGCAGAAAGAAGGAAATAACAAAAATTGGAGCACAGATAAGTGAAATGGTCAACAGGGGAAAAAAATGAAACTAAAAGTGATTTTTCAGAAAACTGACAAAATTGACAACCCCTTAGCTAGACTAAGAAAAAAAAAAGACTCAAATAATAAAATCAGAAATGCAAGAGGGAATATTACAACCAATGCCACAAAATAAGGATCGTAAGAGAACATTATGAAAAACTGCACACCAACAAACAGGACACACATTAATCTCTAGAAAGATACAACCTACTAAGACTGAACAATGAAAAATAGAGAATCTGAAATGTATAACTAGCAAGGAGATTGAATCAGTAATCAAAAACTTGCCAACACAGAAAAGCCAAGGACCAAATGGCTTCAATCACCCTCAAAAATGTTCACACACAGAATTCACAACACATTAAAGGAAGTATACACCATGATCACGTGGGGATTAACCATGGAGTGCAAGGACGATTTAACTCATAAAAATCAATCAAAACTTCACAATGACAGAATGAAGGACAAAACCACTAATCATCTTTACTGATACAGAAAAAGCACCTGAATACTCAATACTCTTGCATGATAAAAGCACTCAACAAATTAGGAAGAGAAGGAAACTAATCAATATAATGGGGCTTCCCAGCTGGCTTAGTAGGTAAAGAATCTGCCTGCAATGCTGGAGACACAGGTTCAATCCCTGAATCAGGAAGATCCCCTGAAAGAGGGCATGAAATCCACTGCAGTATTCTTGCTTGGAGACTCCCATGGAAAGAAGAGCCTGGTGGGCTATAGTCCACAGGGTTGCAAACAGTCAAACCTGACCTAGGCCCCTTATGAGGACCCACAACTAACTTATATCATACTCAATGGTATCAAACTGAAAGTTTTTCCTCTAAGACCAGGGAGAAGGCAAGAATGCCTACTCTTGCCATTTCTAATGAACATAGTATTGGGAGTATCAGCCAGAGCAAAGAGATCCCAAGAATAAATTCTCACATATATATGGTCAAATAATTTTCAATAGAAGTATCAAGTTCATTCAATGGGAAAAGGATGGTCTTTTCAACAAATGCTGCTGGAAAAACTGGCTGTTCACATTCAAAAGAATGAAGTTACATGCTCACCTAACATCATATAAAAAAGTCAACTCTGAACAGATCAAAGACTTAAAGACCTAAAACTATAAAACTCTTAGAAGAAAACTCAGAGCA